GGCTGGATTGTTTAAGTACAATAATTACAGTCTTCTGCTTTCTGCTGATGAAATTACAAGTGATTTTCAGAATGCTGGAGTCAACCTATATAGTCTGTAACAAAGTGAATATCAAAAAGGTCAGTTTTGTATTTATTCAACAAAAGCAAGTAACATTTTTTCATACATGTACTCAACATTATGGTTTAAGATTTACATATCCATATTTTGTTTGTCTTTTTTTACTAAGTTAAAGAAACGGCATGTAATTTTACAATTTCATAATATGTGTAAATTAAAAATGTCATAAATCGCAAACTGACTGTTTTGCCTTTTTGAATGTTATAGCATTTGTGTAAGCTAAGATCTCATTTAAAGTGCAATGTTTTCCGATTTCTTTATTGTCTAGGCAGTTGTGTAAGAGCGATTAACTCAAAAATTCTGAAACTATGAAGCCTACAGGTATATGGAGATTTAATGTCTAAGGTTAAAAAGAAGGTGGAAATTCATTACTTTATATCTGTGGCTAAGTACAATGTTCTCTAGATAGCTTGCTTTGAGTGACACCACATGCTTATTACCTCTGGATTACTACCTGAGACATTGGCATCTTGGCATTGAGTGAAAGCCATGTGTCAAAGATTGGTGTGGGAAAATAAAGAATTAAAGGCACTCTATCTGAATGTGGACAGCATGCTCAACATGGTAGATGAATTGACAGCCCAGACATAAGTGAACAGGTATGATCTAAATTCCACTTTGGATTCATGGCTGCAGGGTGACCAAGGATAGGAACTGAATGCTCATGTTTTTCAACATTTAGGAAGGATAGACAACAAGAAAAGGGGCCGGGGGTAGCTGTGCTAATAAAGAATGAGATCATCTTATTAGTGTGACACAATCTTAGATTGAAGGATCAAGATGCAGAATGAGCCAGGGTGGAGGTGAAAAACAGCAAGGGATAGCAAACTTTCATAGAGCTGATTATAGGCCACCAAATAGTAGTGGTACTCTAGGGCTCCATATATATCAGGAAATTAGAGATGCATATAACCAGGGAATACAGAAATCATGTAACTTTATTCTACATCTAAACTTAGGCAAATCTAACTAGAACCAATGCTGTGGAGACAAAATCCTGGAATGTAAATGACTTTTTTTCGAACACAATGTTGAAGAACGAACTGGAGAACAGACTGTTTTACTTCTAGTATTGTGCAAAGGGAACAGGCGAATTAATAATCTTACTGTAAAGGAACATTTATGGAAAAGTGACTGTAATATGATAGAATTTTACATCACATTTGACAGTGATATAGTTTGATCTGTAAAAATCGTCTTAATTAAGCAAATAAAGGTATAAGGGCCAAATTGACTATGGAGATTGGGAAACTACATTAGAAATCATGACATCTAGCATTTAAAAAATGGCTTACAATAAATTTATATTCCCTTGAAGCACAAGAAAAGCAGGAAAGGTGATCTAACCATGACTAACACAAGCAGGTAAAAATGGCATTTGATCAAAGGAAGAGACATATAAAATTCCATAAATGTGAGCAATTTTGGGAACATTTTAGAATTCAACAAAGGAAGACCAAGGAACTAATTAAGAGAAAACAGAACATGATAGCAAAGTAGTAGGAAACTAGCTGTAAATAGATTCTATATGTATGGATGTGAGAAAAGGTTAGCAAAGGCAAAGGAATGGGGAGTAATGAAATAGCTAAGAAATTAAATAAATATTTTGTGTATGTTTTCACAGAGAATGATATAAAAACTCTCCCAGGAAACTAGAAAAACAAGGGACTGGCTGGTATGAAGAACTGGAAAAAAATAGTATTATAAAGAATTAGTATTGGAGAAATTGATGCGTTGAAAATTGATAAATCCCCTTGACCCTACATGACTCTACACCTCAGAGCACTGAAAGAGTGTTTGAAAAGGTAATGGACACATTGGTGGATGTTGTCCAAAATTCAGTGGATACAACAATGGTTGCTGCAGATTGGGAGGTAGTAAGTGAAAGCTCTCAAATGAAAGAAAGGAAGGAAAGACAAATGGAGAACAACAGACCTGTTAGCCTAACATCAAGGGGAGGCAGTGTCCAAGTGGAGTAATCGCTGGCCTCTTAATCCAGAAACCCAGGTATTGTTCTGTGATCCATGTTCAAATCCCGCCATGGTAGATGGTGGAATTTGAATTCAATACAATTCTGGAATTAAAAATCTAATTATGATTACGATGATATGAGAAACCCATTTGGTTCAATAATATCCTTACCTGCTCCGGCTTACATGTGACTCCAGACACGCAGTAATGTGTCGTAGAGTCATAGAGTTGTATAGCACAGAATGACATCCTTCAGTCCAACTCATCCACACCGACTAGATATCCTAAGTTAATCTGGTCCCATTTGCCAGCATTTGGTCCAGATTGCTCTAAACTCTTCCTATTCATATTCCCATCCAGATGCCTTTTAAATATTGTAATCGTACCCACCTCCACCACTTCCTTTGGCAGCACATTCCATAGACGCACTACCCTCTACGTGAAACAGTTGCCCCATATATCCCTTTTAATTTTTCCCCACTCATCTTAAATCTATGCCCGTTAGTTTTGGACTCGTCTACCTGGGAAAAAGACCTTGGCTGTTCACCCTGTCCATGGCCCTCATGACTTTATAAACCTCTGTAAGGTCACCCCTCAGCCTCCGCTATTCCAGAAAAATAGCCCCAGCCTATTCAACCTCACCCCATAGCTCAAACCCCCTAATCTCTTAACTGCCCTCTAGGCAATTGTGGATAGGCAATAAATTCTGGCCTCGCCAGCGATGTCCTCATCCCATGAATGAATAAAAAATATCAGTAGTAGGACCTTTCTAGAATCTATTACTAAAGAATGTTTATAACTGAACTTTTAGAAAGTTATGGTAAAACTGGCAGAGTCTACATAGATATATGAAAGGGAAATCATGTTTCACAAACTAATTATGGATTTTTTTTGAAAATGTAACTAGCAGGGTAGCTAAGGGATAACCAGTGGACGTGGTACATTTGGATTTTCAAAAAATCTTTGCTAAGCTGCCACGTAGGAGGTTAGTGAATTCAACTGGAGTGTGTGCAAGGTTGGGGATAATAGAATAATATTGGCATAGAACGAGATCAACTAACAGATAAACAGTAGAAATAAGCTGGTCATTCTCAGGCCATGGTGAAAGTTAGATATAAGAAACATTTTCTCCTGGAGAAAAACATTAGTTTAGAACTATTAGGAAATAGGATATCTCAGTATAAGAGTTTAGTTTGAAAGTTCCAAGCCAGAAGTGTTTAGCTCAAGTGCTGAAGGGGTTATTTAAAGCTGAGAAAATCTAAGTTCAGTTATGTGACTAATAAAGAAAAATGTGATCAAACTCTCAAGACCTGGTATTAAAAGAAACAGATACGTCAAGCCTATAGATTGAGAGAGAAGAGAACTATGTGGTACAGTGAAGAGATGGTGTTAGGATAGATGGCATTATACTTTACCATGTGTTTTGAAGTCTTTCAAATTATGTGATATATAAATAGTTTGGTTTATTTTATCTTCATTTCTTTTGAACAATAAATTCCTATTTTAAACCAAATTTGTAGTTGTGCATGCTTGCATTTCAGTAAAAGACCGTCACCTTAAATAAAAACAAAACAAAATATGATCTTTCAAGCCATGTTTCAGTCTGAGATCTGACTTGTCTGGTAATAATGTCAGCTAAGCTCATAACACCTCATCTGGAGTACATTTTTGCTTTCTTTATCTGAGGAAGGATCTCCTCCCAAAGCAGGAGTGAAATCAATGTCCACTAGGCTGGTTCCTGAAATAGTGGGACTGCCCTATAACAAATTGAAGAGACTGGGACAATGCTGTATAGAGTGTAGACCATTCAGATGTGTAGATGCAGGAAGAATGTTTCCCCTTGCTGAGAGTCTAGAACTAGGAGACACAGTGTTCAAATCAAAGGTAGGCCGAATAGGTCTGAGGTGAAGGGGAATTTCTTTACTCAGAACATGAAGATGTTTTGGAATTGCTTACTTCAGAAGAAAGTAGAGGTTCCACCATGGAATTTATCCAGACAGAGGCAGATTTATTTCTAAATATTAATGATGCAAAGTGATGTGAAGATCGTGTGGGAAATGCCACTAATGTGGAAGATCAGCCATGGTCTAGATGAATAGCAGAGCAGGACTAATGAGCCAAATGGCTGACTCCTGCTCCCATTTCCTTTGTTTTTATTAAACCACTTGGAATCTTAATTCAATGAATGTTCTGCTGACAGATTTGAGTATAGTAAGTGTCGGTTGAAAAGCATTTAATTCTTGTGTTGCCCAGGCATTAAGAACTGAATGGAAGGATTGAGTTGTGTTATTATTTTACGTAATGTAGAAACAGAAAATTCTGGAAAATGTTCTTGGATTCAGTACTTAGACAACGCTGCACATTGGGAATGTCAACTTATGCGTGAAACATAAAATTGAGGATCTGCCCTGTCTGCCCCCTCTCAATCAGACATATAAAATGGCATGACTCCTTTGGAAGAAAGTAAGAAAGCTCTGCTTAGAATCCTGACAGGTAGCTCAACAAACATGGATAAATTCGATTATCTGTCTCACTGCTGCTTACAGGAGATGACTGGACATAAATTGAGTTGTTGTGTTTCCCTGGATTGCAACAGTGGTGATGTTTTAAAAGTACCTCATTGACTGTAAAGTCTTTTGCGACATCCTAAGGTGTAAAATACACCTTGTCAATCCAAGTTATTTATTTATTAATAGATGTACAAATCTGATTTGAACACAATGACTGATCGTTGTAGAACCACATAGTTTTAAGGTTTACAATTAAATTTATAAATGCAATCACTCTTTGATACATACTGTTAGGATTTTCATCATATTGTTTATAAAAGATATAGATGTAAACACAAGCATATCTTCCTTTCAGATTGACCTCATCTCAATAATATTCTCTTCCTGTTGTATTTGAAGGTACGGATGAAGAAATGAGGCACTTTTCCTACAGTAAGTTCACAACAATATGCCAAGACGAAGAAACCTTCTCACTGCAATCCTGATTGCTTTACCCTGGACCATATTGCTGACCATCTGGCACCAGAACTCAGGGGTTTTCTACCTTGCCATTCAGAGAAGTAAGTGACCTTCATATTGTAATTTTAGAGATTTAATTAATTATGAATTTAAAACAGCCTTAATTTTCCTGGCCAACACTTGGTAGAAAAAAAGATAATTGAATTTACTTATTATGGGGAACGATAGTGGGATAACTCTTCCCTTTGCTTGGTTGACCTTAACAAGTTGAGGGAGTGTTTTAGACTGTTTTGACTGTTAAGATTTTCAGTGATAAACACATTGAGGGCTTTTGGTAAGTTTAAATCAAAAGAAAATATGAATGTTTATTCTCACAGCACCCAGAATGTAAATGCAATGTACATACTCACTTCTCTAAGAAAATAGACACATGCACATATAAAGATTCGATAGATCAGAGCATGTAGGTAGATTATTAACAGCATACAGGAATCATGTCATATTCAGATTTAGTTCCTTAAGGTATGCATGATGCAGGCCTGGCTGGGTTCCCTCTTGTAGTTCTTTGAATAAGAATGGAAGTTAGAAGTCTTGGGATTTCCAGACCAGGTTATGCCTGTGGTGAGCTCTTCATGTGAAAATGCATTCGTCACTGCTCATTGTGTGGGTTGGCTGGTTGACAGGCAGTGTTCTATTCTTTTGGCTGAAGGAATTGTCCTGTTGGTTTCAAGACCAGAAAATCTTGCCCTGTCTGGTTGTTGTACTGATGAGCTTCATTATCTGAACAGTTTTGCTGACATGATCAATAGCTCGATTGACCACCACATCCAGGGCTATTTACATTTTAAGACATTTTCATAAGTCTGTACAGAAGTGAGTTAATCGTTGGTGCAGGAGTCACAGAAGGTCATACTACCATGGGTGCTCATCTTGGGTCAAGATAAATTGTCCACATGTTGTGTTGTTCTTTCATTTATTTAGGAAAAAAATTGTCCTTCATTTCCATACACTCATAGCCATGTGACACAACAGTGATGCTAGGAAATCAGCCAATTGCCTGATAGCTGGTACATTCCACTCAGGAATATATATTAACATTAATATAACTATATGTCAAAATAAATCACAACTAAATCCCAAAGGCCCTCTCTATGGAAAATCAATGGTGGCACTTCTGTAGTTTCCAGAGATAGCTATTATTTCGGGCCATTCAGAAAATCTGCCAGTCAGTGTGATACAGTTTTCATTTTGAGGAGATCTCAAATTGGCAAAACCTCAAGGTGTCATCTCTTACATTATTGCAGTTTAGGGAACTTCAAAGACTGGTTGAAAGAATTATACACCATGAATTGGATACAATTCCCAACTATACAATAATACTTTGTCTGACTGTATCAGCCTTCATTATTTGTTTGCATTGGTTTCAGGTAAGAATATATTGATTCCTTGATTTTTATTTACTCAGTGAAAGATATACCTGAAAAATACCTCATGCCAGTTATTCATTGCACTAATAGTGCCTCACTGAGACGCCACTGACAAATATTTCATACCATGAAGGAAACATTTCTGAACTTGCACAGCATAAGATGAGTGCTGCAATTCAAAAACATGAGGAGAAATTTAACTTTTTTATGCAAAAGCATATTTTAGCTTTGGGGATATTGAGCAGATTCTTTCCAGCCAGGTGGGGTAGGGTCAAGGACTTAGGGACGGGAAAGTCCAAGACACTGAAGTAGGATCATGATCTCCTTTCTCGCTTTCCCGGGGGCAGCAGTGAGGGTGAATGATGAACTCGCTTGGATCTGTGGCAGAGTAAGTAAGGAATGGTTGGCTGCAGCAAGACCGTTCACCACCAATATCACTTCATCAAGGACAATCATGGGCAGACAATAAACTGTTGGCTGAGCCAGAGACACCCACATTCCATGAGTGATGAATAAAAGTGTTGAGAAGCGACAGAATGCTTTAACCCAGAGTCTTGGCTTTCCAACCAGAGGTCTGATTTCCTGAGCTATCGCCGGGGTCACTGAGATAAGTATACAGCAGAAGAGCTTCTTCAGTGAAACCTACAATCTGGGGAGGTTTTGATTAGTTACACTGAACAGCTTCAGCCACAGCTATTTAGAGACTGCTGTTCTGAGCTCTTCCTCTCTCAAGAAGTGCATTCACCGCTTCACGGGTGATTGTCAATTTCTCAGCAGAAACTTAACCCCACCTTGCATTTCAGTCACTTTCAGCCACACCTCCCTGTTGACTACAATGTGGACGATGTTTAAGCAACTTCACTTTACAACTTTGCTGAGGTCCGATAACAGAGGCCAAAACACAGCTAAGGACTCCAACAGCAACCAGAGTATCAAAGCAGCAACATAAACTGCCTCCACAGCTGCATGCCTTTCCTCAGTTGGATGTAAAATCCAGCTCCACGATTGTGAGAGCACCAATACCAGGTCTAAAGGCAAGCGGATGATCTCTCTCAACATGTCTGAATACCGAGTCCTTGGGAGACTCAGGAGCTCGCTGCAATTCACTGCTGACATCCACAACTCCTGGATCAAGACTTCTTTCCAATGGAGCAGGTACACACGTTATGCTGTCTATCGCTGGAGGGTGACCTATCCATGCACCTCCCTTCCCAGAGCCAGCTCTTTGCTCTTAGCAAGTTGTGTGAGAAGAGAAAGCAAAGACAAGGTATTGGCTTGTCTCGAGAGAATGGAAGGACAGCATTTAGTGGAGGGTGAAAACAAAGCATACTTTTTTGTTTACTTTTCATTTATGGGATGTCAGCATCACTGACTAGGCCAGGATTTAATCCTATCTCTAATTTCACCATAGCACCTGGTGGTGAGCTGTTTTCTTGAACTGCTACAGTCCTTGGAATCCAGTTCAGACACGTTGAGGGCTGTTAGGAAGGAAAGTCCAGGATTCTGATTGCATAACATTGAAGAATTGACAATATTGTTCAAAGTCTGGATAGAGTTGTTTGGAGTAGGTGATTTTCCTATGCATCCACTGTTCTTGTCTCTCCAGATGACAGAGGTTGTGGGTATGGAAGGTGCTGTCGAAGGAGCCTTGGTGAGCAAATGCAGTACTTTTGTGGATGGAACAGATTGCTGCCTCTGTGTGTCGATTGTGAAGAAAGTGAATCTTGCAGTTGGTGGATGAGATGGCATCAAGTGAACTGCTTGTCCTGAATGGTGTCAAGCTTGTTGACTGTTGTTTGAACTGCACTCATTCAGGCAAGTGGAGAGTATTCCATCATATTGCTGACACATGCCTTGTAGATGATGGTCAGACTTTGGGGAGACAGGAAGTGAATACTTACTACAGTATTCCCAGCCTCCGAACTGCACTTGTAGCAACTGTATTTGTATGGCTGGTCCATTTCAGTTTCTAATCAAGGGTAACACCCAGGATGTTGAAAATGGTAGCATTCAGCAACAGTAATACCATTGAATATTAAGGGACAATGGTTAGATTATCTCTTATTGATTACGGTCATTGTCTGACATTGTGTGCCACAAATGTTACTTGCCACTTAATCAGCCCATGCCTGAATATTGTCCACATCTTGTTGCGTTTATATGTGGACTGTTTCTATGGAGCCATGAATGATACTGACCATTGTGCAATCATCGGCGAACATCCCTACTTCTGACCCTATGATGGAGGGAAGGTCATTGATGAAGCAGCTGAAGATGCCTTAGTTCTCACCAACTTTAATTTTGCTAGGGCTCTTTGATGCCACAGCATGTCGAAAATGGCCTTAATGTCAAGGGCAGTCATTGCACCTCACCTCCTGAATTCAACACTTCTCTGTTTAGACCAAGACAGTGTTGAAGTCCAGAGCTGAATGGCACCAGTGGACCCCAAACTGACTATCAGTACTCATGTAATTGTTGAGTGAGTGTTGCTTGAAGGCGCTGATGACGATCCCTTCCATCATTTTTTTGATGATCAAGAGTAGACTGATGAGGCAGTAAGTGGCCGGGTTGGATTTGTCCTGCTTTTTGTGTGTTGGACATGCCTGGGCAATTTTCCACATTGTTGGTTAAATGCCAGTGTTGTAACTGTACTGGAACAGTTTGGCTAGGGGAGCAGCAAGTTCTGGAGAACAAGTCTTCAGTACTATTACAAGAATGTTTTATATCCTTTGCAGAATCCAATGCCTTTAGCCACTCCTTGACATAATTGGATATGGATTGGCATCTGTCTTGCTGGGGACCACTAGAGGAGGCCGAGATGGATCATCCACTTGACACTTCTGACTGAAGATGGCTGGGACTGCTTCAGCCTTATCTTTTAATCTGAGGTGCTGAGCTGTCCTATCATTGAGGATTGGGACCTTTGTGGAGCTTCTTCCTCCAGTGAGTTGCTGATTGGTCCACCAGCGTTTACTGCTGGACGTGGCAGAACTGCAAAGTTTCAATCTGATCTGCTGGTTGTGGAATCATTAAGTTCTGTCTATCATTTGCTGCCTATGATGTTTGGCATGCAAGTAGTGCCCAAACATTATATCAGAAAATACATTTCTCCCCAGGGATAGGAAGATAACTGAGACTACATTGTTGAAAAGAAAGCTGGACCAGAATTTGCATTATCATGTAGACACTAGCTCCACTGAATTTGAGAAGGAATTGATCTCAGATATTAAATTATCTATTGTCCTCTATTCAATATTGATCGAGTTATCAGGCAGAATCTTTTCAACTTTGTCACTGCCGAAACAATTAAACCATTTTCAGATTTGGAACCCAACTCACAATTTGCAGCTTCACAACTGTTTGGTGTGGCACCTGAATTTTTTTGCCACACTTATGTCATACCATCGTGGGTTCCTGGATTCTCTTGATACACTGTCTGCATGTTGGAGGGATCATCTCCAGCTGTTCACTTCCTCAGCTACTTCCACGCATATCTGCTAACTCACCAGTCCTTGGGATAAAGAGTCAGTGAGAACTTTTAATCCATGTTGTTGTCCCTTTAATTAGAAATCCTTCCTTTGACTAAATTGATGTATCATCTTGTTCAACTACCTGAACTGATCCAGGAGTCCTGAGGTGCAATAACAGTTAATTTTCTTTCAGGGAAGTGGAAT